TGGATCATCCTTGACTGATCACTCTGGATCCCTCAGAACGGCAATGCTATATTTCACCTTATTTTATATGTACAAAGTATTTTAAGGATACGTGTTTTATTCTACAATATGTTAAGGGCATAGAAGGGTGCCAGTTGGTAAAAAAAAATTGATTGAATAAAAGTCTGTTTATATTGCTATAAGTGCTTTCCATTTTACTATTTCTCTCACACACCTTTCTAGTAATGAAAAATAATTTAGATGCTTGGTGTTTGCTAAAGCTCAGTGACATTTTTTCTCTCTACAAAAGTAAAAAGACAAGATAAACAGGAATGGTAAGTTTCAGCCTTATTGAAACCCAGGCTAGCCAGCCTATTCGAATGGACTTTAACTTGTGTGCCAAGTCAGGAGATTGAAGGCTTACATTAGAGGATATCAGGTATACCGGCTGCTAGAGTTTGCCAGTTGGACACTGCTAAATGTGGCCCTAAATGCAGCTTTTAGTGCTAATTAATGCGGCGTTTACAGTAAGAGACAGCATACTTCCCTGTCTTTTATTCTTTCCTTTGTTTTTTGCTTTTCATGTATTCTTTCTCTCCCCCCCTTTTTTTAAACTAGAAAAAAAGTAGAGTAGAGCAGTGGTTCCTAACCCTGAAATTACCCATCAGAATCAATACACGTTTGTAAAAATACATAAAATAACACTCTATTTTTAAAAATATATATATTTTATTGATTTTTTACAGAAAGGAAGGGAGAGGGAGAGGGAGAGGGAGAGGGAGAGAAGAGAGCTAGAAACATCAATAGCTGCCTCCTGTACACTCCCTACTGGGGATGTGCCCGCAACCAAGGTACATGCCCTTGACCGAAATCGAACCTGGGACCATTGAGTCCACAGGTTGATGCTCTACCCACTGAGCCAAACCGGTTAGGGCAATGCTCTATTTTATATAAAAAGTCAGAGTAATTAAGAAAATAAGTATCATTTCACACCCACCAGATTGAAAAATATTTAAAAATGTCTCCAATAAAAACTTCAAGTTTCATAGGAGTAATTGGGTATTTCTCTCATTGCACCTACCACTATTATGAGCACTAGAATGTAAACTTCCAAATATAGAAAGTTTTGTCTGTTTTGTTCATTGCTGTATGTGCAGTGCCTAGAAATGCCCAGCACACAGTAGGTAATCAATAAATATCTGTGGAAGAATGAATGAATACTTGCTGATTAATTGGATGACTAAGAAGCCTTCGGGATCAATAGTTTTCCTAAGAAACCTCCAGTCAGTTTTTAGAAACTTCAGACCTAGGTTTTCAAAGTTGTAAGGACCAAGGTTGGTCAAGCATGGCCTGGGACAGGAACGAAAGGCAGGACGAGGGATTTCCCCACTCTGACCACATCTTCCTACCACAGTTCCCACTTCCCAGTCCTCACTACCTCAAATACCCAGCACTTCATAATTCACCCAGCCGCTAGCCTTTCTGGGGCCCATATTTCATTTTTTTCTAATCTGCATTCCATTGTCACATACTTCATGATCCCAAAAAGGGTTTCCATTGCTATGAACTTAGATCCGTCAGTTCTGTGCTTTGACAACTACTATAATCTTCTGTTTGATCTTTGGACTTTGGACTTTCCTTACCCCAATTCATCACTGCCAGACTAATCTTTCCAGAGTATCACTTTCATGATGCTACCACCCTGCTCCAAAGTCTTTAATGACTGCTATATGTCGTCTCTATTTAAAAGATTTACATTTCTTAGCTTTGTACCCACAGCCCTCAGTGACCGGTTCCCCATTAATCTGTCTTCTCTGTGTTATTACCCAGAACTCCTGAACAGGACTCCTCAGTCCCAACTCATCAGATGTACTCATGTCCCCCCAAATCACCTTGTGTTCTTCTGCCTATTTTTTTTGCTCATGAGATAGACCTAAGTGTCCCAGGTTCTCATCCTGAATCCATTGTTTCTCCTTGTCCAAATTATAATTCCGTAAACCTTCTCTTCTTAAGTCATTTTCAGAATTTCTGAAAAAATGCTGTCAAGTCCCAGAAAACCATTGTGTTGTCACATGTCACCATGGTCAGTTTCTCACTCCAGAATACTACCCTATCCTCAGTTGATCACAACTTGCTCTTCAAAGCTGGCTTCTAAGGCTGCTGCTGTTCTCCAAGGATAATTCGTCCCAGGCTGCTGGTCTGATTCCACACAGTACAGCTCCATCCAGTTTATACCGGTGTGCACAATTTTACACAGGCTTAGGGATAACGAGTGGACCTACTGTACTACTGATGCCCTGTGGCCATATTCACCACCCTTCCCTGATCCCTCAGTCTCCACACCTGAGTCACACGCCCATCACGTGGACTGAGTCGGCCAGGGAACACAGATTCAGTGTCAGTGAAGTGCCAGGCAATATGCTAGGCATTGAGGATACAAGGGGGGACCAAATAGACACAGTTGCTGTTTTCATGACAGACATTAAATAATTACAAATAGTTGAGCAAATAATTCTAAGTGTGCAAAATGCTGCCAAAGAAACACCAAGAATCCAAGCGTAGGTCCTCTACCTTCTCTGGGGCTCAGAGAAAGGGGGAAAAAGGGCTCCCATCTCTTAAACTCTATCTAGTCAAATTAATAATAAAATAAGCCTGGCCTGTGGGCTCAGTGTTTTAACGTTGACCTATGAACCAGGAGGTCACTGTGTGATTCCTGGTCAGGGCACATGCTGGGATTGTGGCTTGATCTCCAGTGGGGGGCTTGCGGGAGGCAGCCAATGAATGATTCTCTTTCATCATTAATGTTTCTCTCTCCCCCTCTCCCTTCCTCTTTGAAATAAATAAAATTATATTAAAAATAATAATAATCTTGCCCTGGCTGGCATGACTCAGTGATTAGAGCTTCAGCCTGCCCATGGAGGGGTCTTGGATTCAATTCCCAGTCAAGGGCAAGGGTTGCAGGTTTGATCCCTGGCCCCAGTGAGGGGAGGGGGGCATGTGGGAGCAACCAATAAATGAATGTGTCTCTTTCACATTGATGTTTCTCTCTCTCTCCCACCCTTCCATCCCTCCACTCTCTCTAAAAATCAATGGAAAAAATATCCTTGGGTGAGGATTAATCAATAATAATAATCTTAAGAAAAGCAATTCTGACCTTAAGGAAGACAGCTTTTTACATTATTTTGCTGCTTAGCTCCAGATTTTTTCATATTTCCTCAACAGAGAATGAAAAAAGCCACAATTCATGAACACTTAAACCATGTGCTTGGCACCATTCTAAGATATATGTGTGTGTGTGTGTGTGTGTGTGTGTGTATACTAGTCTATATGTAATTTTCACAATAATCTATGCAGGAGTCCTATTAATTTCCCCTTTTATAGAAAAGGCAACTAAGGCACAGAAAGGTCATAACTAGCTTGGTCACACAGCAAGTAATGGCAGAAGTAACAATCCAGGCAATTTTGCTACCCCAAAGTCTTATTACTACCTCTTAATACAAAAACCTGCATAATCACAGATAGGTCGTTAAAATGATTTTCCCAAAACAATGGATTGATCTTCCTTCAAAGGTATATTCACCTCCACCTTTAAAGCAGAGAGAGAATATTGGCAGCTCCTCCATATCAGTCCCCATCTTCTGCCTCTGAACTTTCATCCCAGAGCGAGGCTCAGGGCACTCTGCCACAGTATGCTCCTCTACTCAGCTGGCCTGCTCTCCTTGCCAGGTGCTGGAACCCCATCATTCTTTTGTAGAAGCCAGACCAAGCCCTTCCCAGGCCTAGTTCATAGTGGTCTCTTCCATCTCTGAATTCATGTAACAATCACTGTTCATAGACATACTCTTATAGATGACCTTCTCTACAAAGTTTATAGGGAGTGTGTATTTCCCCAAATAGCACAGTGCTTTGCATTGCATGAAATTGGTACTCAAAAATAACTGATTGACTGATTGATAAAGAGAGGGTCCCCAGATTGTAGGGGGCCTGTGTGGCAGGCAGCCAGACTGGTAGCAAGTAGGCATTTTAGTTCTTGATTTTATGTTTTTTATATGATTTTTAAAAAAATCTATGGATATTTTGAACATATCTGGAAAATACTCACTCAATAAATTATTAACGTGCCAAGCCATTGTGCTAGGTATTAAAAGCTAAACTCTCTTTCCTGACCTCTATATCCAGCTTGCCAGTTGCCTTCCAGGTATATCCACCAGTTCAAATCCAAGATTATCATCCTTATTCCTACAACATAGAAACAAATATTCCAAACTTGCCTCCCCTTAAAGTCTCAACATTTCTTGTCAATTACTTTTTCCATTAAAAAACATCTAAGTTAGATATTCATGTTATGAATGTAATGAGGAAACAGTACTAAGAGACCTGTTCTTTATTCTTTTGCCAACTTAATAATACCATCAGGGCAACTCTCTCTGTTTCCATGCAGATCTAGTACTAGCGGTGGGCAGCTGCAATATTAATTATTATGTGCTAAAAGAGTTTACAATTACTTTCAGAACATTCTTTTTTAATTGAGGATTTTAAGTGGGACAAATGAAGCAAAGAAACTTGTATTTTTCACAGCCCTTGAGATATAAATCTTTATACAATGTAGAAGTATAATTAAATAAAATTCAAATTTAAAAAGCTAATAATTCGTATTAATGATACATGGTAGAGATGTTTAAGTTTCTTCCACAATTTCAATCGGGAATTAATTAGCTTCTAAAATAAAATACATGGAAAATTAAGGACTCACTTGAATTCGAATGCAACAAATATTAACTAGAGTTTTAGTTCTTTGTAACTTCTATAAAAATTTCCCAAATGTATTGGTATAGACTATGTTAGGGATAGAGTCTATTTCCTATGTTAGCTTTTTAAAAGACAAATTTAAAGAAAAGCATGTTGGTTGAGCGTTGTCCCATGCATAGAGAGGTTGCCAGTTTGATTCCCGGTCAGGGCACATGCCCAGATTGCGGCTCAATCCCCAGTAGGGGATGTGCAGGAGGCAGCCAATGTTTCTATTTCCCCTTTCCCTTTTTCTTTCTCTCTCTAAAATCAATATAAACATATTAAAAAAGAAAAGCATCTTGGCATTTGCTTCTGCTCTAAGTGGGTTCTTTACATTTTACCTTAATTACCTTGCAAAGTAATTGCTTATCTATAAATAAGTACTAAAATAAAAATTGGTAAATAAAAATATAGTAAATATAGATTGTCTGAAAGAATACTGCTAAGACATTTCTCCCACGCCATAACAGTGGTATAAAACATGAACGTGACGCATGATAGGATCCACAATAAAGTAAGAAAATGTCTGTTCATGACTTTTTCTTGAAGGGTAGCACACACCATCAGAATCCTGAAAAAGATAAACTTAAATTATTTAGTACACAACAGTATTCAAATAATAGTCAACATATTTAATACATTTTCTGTTAAAATGTCATGAAACATTAAATCTTTGACAATAAATTGGCAGTTAAGTAATTTTTAAGAAATATCGACAGTCTACTATGCTAACAATACATATGTTCATTACTACACAAACATGCATAATTTTTTACCTTAAGGAATTTGTAGTCTAAAAAGAAATCCATCTTTTGAAAAAGTGCTTATAAAGTGCTAATATTGCTAAAATTTCCATTTTGCAATTTTCTTCTATCTTTGTTTTCTTTTAAAACATGGTCCATATGTACTATGAGGGACTATATTTCTTTTATTTATCAATAAAAAGCACCTAGCCCAGCATAGTAAATACTCAATAAACACTGAACTGATCGAATGAAGACACTTAGATATGTCAGTAATATTTTGTATGCTACTAAAATTCAAGCATCCGATTCTGTGGCACAAAGACATTCATGGCATTCTTACTTATTTGACCTATAAGTTGTGGTTTGACAGAGAACTATGATTTACGTCCCATGAGTCACAGATTTAGCTCTAGCTAAGGACTATTATTAGACATGTACAACAGAAAGGAAGGTAGGGAGAAAAGTTCATACTGTTCTCCAAATGAAAGCATACCTTAAATTTAACAAAAAGCTAGATATCATCATCTTTTTTCATAGGCATAACATAGCCCTAACTGCTAACTCCAGTTGTAACAACCCTGTTAATAGCAAGTAATTAAATTCATTGGTAGTAAATTTCCTCTCCACTTACATATGCTGTAACTTTAAAGATGAAAGAGGTAATTTGTATTTCCTTGGTTTGAGGATGCTTTCGAACACTAAAATAAGGGAGAAATATACATTTTAAATATAACGAGCATTGGCATAATGCATTTAGTATTCAGGTGTTCTTAATCATATGTAATATGGAAATATATAACATCCAACTAAAGTGATTTAAAGAGAGTGGCAGCTGCGGTTTCATTCAAGGGTGATGCAAAGTAAACTGAGTTGGGATTGCAAAAATCTGAATTTTAGAAGGTTGGGGCCAATCTGAGATTCAAACGACATGACTCCAAGGCCAGAGACAATTATTGGAAAAACGAGAATTGGTAAAAGATTGAAGTGTAGAGAACTGGAAGGGTAGATAAATACACATTAACTACACAACTTAAACACAAATGCCAGTTCTGCCACTGATGTTATTTCACTATGGTCAAGATTAATATTTCTGAACCTTAATTTTCTCATATGTAAATGAGGCATACTATGGTTCCTTTTAGGATTATAGGAGAATTAAGTAAGATAATGTATATGGAAGCTATTTGTTAAATTATGTATTACTAAATTATACAATATTAAAAGCAGCCCTGGCCAGTTTGGCTCAGTGGATGGAGTGTTGGCCTGTGGACTGAAGGGTCCCAGGTTCAGTTCTGGTCAAGGGCATATACCTGGGTTGTGGGCTCAATCCCCAGTGGGGGGCATGCTGGAGGCAGCTGATCAATGATTCTCTCTCATCATTGATGTCTCTCTCTCTCTCTCTCTCTCTCTCTCTCTCTCTCTCCCCCTCTCCCTCTCTGAAATCAATAAAAATATATAAAAAATAAATTTAAAAAAGCATTTCCTCTTAGTAGCTGTCTTTCAGTTATACTCTCCACAAAACATTACTAATATACAGTCAGAAAGCAAATTGAGGATAGAGGAAATAAATTACAGATAGATATCTACATGTAAATATATACGGGTTATATTTATAATGCTTTATAATCTGCAAAACACCTTTATATAATTTACCTCATAAAGATCAGACAACTCAGTGAGGTAGGCATCATTTCACCAATTTTATAAACAACTAGAGGCCCGATGCACGAAATACGTGCAAGAGTAGGCCTTCCTTCCCTCGGCTGCCAGCACCAGCTTCCCTCTGGCACCTGGGGCCCAGGCTTCCCTCATAGCCCCAGCTTCGTCTGGAAGGTCATCTGGTCTAATTAGCATATTACGCTTTTATTATTATAGATAGCACTAGAAAGTTAAATGATGTATTTAAGACATTCCAACTAAAAGTGGTATTTCTGGGGATAGAACCTAGTTGACACAGAGTCCAGTTCTCTTTTCCTACACCTCACCTGTTTATCCTGTCCTTACATACGCATCAAGGGTACTACTCAGATGTGATGTGTAGGTTAAATTTAAAGGAGCTATCCCTCCTCTTCACTTTATCAGGTGAAAGCACTGCTTCTCCTTTGCTGCTTATGTAAAAGTAATGGGAGAAGAGAGAAAGGAGGAAGAGGCTGGACTTTGTGGGAGGGTGAGGGTGCGTGTGTGTGTGTGTTTGAGCCTGTGCAGCTATTGGGAATGGCCAGACCTAAGACATTTCAGGGTTCAAGATTCTTAGGCTGCCTTCGTTTCTAAAACATTTCATTCTGATTTAAACCCAGGATTCATGTAATTAAACTGATTTCCATATATTTATATGACATGGATTGAGGTAATTTTCTTTATTTATCTAATGCCCAAGATATACTTTTTAAAAAGTTGAAGAGTACATTTAAAATTCTGTGCTATAACAATTACATATAAAACACTTGTATACACCTACACAATCAACCAGATCAAAATACAGAACCTATCTACATTTACATCTAATTTTATTTTTAAAATTTTAAATATTGATCTGAAGGTGTTTATATGAATGTAAACATATATAAAAATTCACCAACCGCCCTGGCCGGTTTGGCTCACTGGATAGAGCATCGGCCTGGGGACTGAAGAGTCCCAGGTTCAATTCTGGTCAAGGGCATGTACCTTGGTTGCGGGCACATCCCCAGTAGGGGGTGTGCAGAAGGCAGCTGATCGATGCTTCTCTCTCATCGATGTTTCTAACTCTCTATCCCTCTCCCTTCCTCTCTGTAAAATATCAATAAAATATTTAAAAAAAAAATTCACCAACCTGTATGTACACTGTGATTTGTTCACTTTAGTGTATGGAAATTACCCCTCAATTTAAAAAAATCTAAAAAAAACACCTTGTAAAAGTTTGTGCTTATCAAATAAACTTAGAGGAAAATTTAGTATTTGATACTTCCTTTAATAACCACTTAACACATATTAACATGTACCATAAATGTATTTTTAAAAAGTCCACATTTCTTTTTTTAAAAAATAATTATTGATTTTAGAGAGGGGGAAGGAGAAGGGAGAGAGAGAGAGAAAACACACACATTGATTTGTTGTTCCATTTATTTATGCACTCACTGGTTGATTCTTGTATGTGCCCTGACCAGGGATTGAACTCACAACCTTGGTGTATCAGGACAATGCTCTAACCAACTGAGCTACTTAGCCAGGACCTATAAGTGTATTATTTAAAAAAGAAACCACGATTTATACATTAAAAGTTGGTTCCTAACAGAAATAAATCAATTACTCCATTTTATTGCCTCTAATCCTATATTGCTATTACTTTAAAATATCTCATAAGATAATTTTCTAATTTTATAGGTCAAGTACAGTAACATCCATCTGATGTCTCTTAAGAAAAAAATAAAAGGAAATGTAAAGTGATATTAATTAGTGATTTCAGGTATGCCACTAATAATTGCATTGTATCAGATGTTAGCAATCACTAACTCACTCTCCAGATAACAATGGTTTTGACGGATGCTGGGACATAATTTCCATATTGCTCTTTTCATTTTTTTAAATGGTGGGAGAGTTTTCTAAACATTCTTAATTAATTTTATTTTATTATCTTTAAAATTTATCCTTATTGTTGGAAGTATTACAGATATCCCTTTACTCCCACTGACCCCCTCCACCCTGCTCCCTTCCCCTCCCCAGACTTCTCAGCATTATTGTCTGGCCATGGGCTATGCATATATGTATATAAGTTCAAGAGACAAAGGGAGAGGGCGAGAGAGAAGAAGAGGGAGGAAGAGAGAAACCTCAATTTGTTGTTTCACTTAATTATGCATTATATGTGCCCTGACCAGGGGTTGAACCTGCAAACTTGGCGTATTGGGATGATACTCTAATCAATTGAGCTACCAGGCCAGGACTCATATAGTTCTTTTAAAAAGTATGTAAGGGTCTAGAAATAATAAATGAATGATTTCTTATTGATATCACTTGGGCTAATTTCTAAGGATCAGCCCTGTATTGGCTCTAATTGGGCTGGGCTCCTTCCCCACCTCCCCCACCATGAGGACTTGTGTGCATCTCCCCTGCGCTGGGAATAGGCTGCCCTCCTCTTTGCTGGCTCTCATGGACTCCATTTGATTCAAGATTTCCCTGACTGCTGACACTGACAATTTCCTCTTTTGAATTTCTGGAGCATGTATAAAGTATAAAATGCTATTAACACTTGCCTATAATTAATTGAACATTTGATTATATAAAAATTTTACTTATAAAAGATTTTAAACAATTTACATTACTATTATTTAATGTTAGTTTGTTGTAATTTCCTTAAGATCAAGGACTATCTGATGCTCCTTTTGTAGTCTCTTTGGGCTCTAAAGACTCTGAAGCTTAGAGTTTGGCAGAGTTCTGTGCACAATATTAACACTTACTGGCTGCCTGATTAAGTGATTTTATGGACTCAATTTATATTTGTCTGTAAGATGTCATGAATTTTGGCTACTCATTTAATTAGTCTTTGAGGCATACTTTTTTTTTTAGCCCCCAAAGAGTGTAGAAGAGAATCTCAAATAAGAATCCAGGGAAGGGAATGTAGAAGAAAACAGAAGTTTCTTCAATGTTTAGGTTCTAAAGTTACTTCTATTTCAAATATCTCCAATAGAATTTCCTCCTCCACAGTGCATGGTAGTGAGGAATTCCACAGGTTCATGTGGCTGCTGAGAAACCACACACTGTGGTGGCAGTGGGGTGTGTGTACGTCGAGGTATAATGAGAAGTGTCCACAGGGAGTGCTAGAAGTGGTCTTGCAAGTTTTCATGAGCTGCGAATGGTAAGAACAGAATGTTTGATGTAGGTATGTGTGTGCTTTTTCTGAAATTCTGTTTCGAATATATCTTATCCAGCAACCTTTAATGACTTTTTCATAAAAATCAGAGATCACTTATAGAAATATTTTTGTTTTTAAAACCATATATCAGAAATTAACTAAAATAAAATAGCTAAATCGTGTAGTTTTTTGTATAGCTATATGATACATGAAATAGATAAGAAAACTGAGGTGCTGAGTTTAAGTAAGTAACAATCAGGAGTTTGATAGAAGTAAATTCTGTTGTTTTCCTGGTAAAGTAACTTTTATAGCTAAACTCTGGGGCCCTTTGTTTCACTTGTTCCTATCCCCTTTGCCTATAAAGATGAGCCAATATCTTTATCAGTGAAAAACCCAACCAAAGAACTTTCATTTTATTTAAAATTAAAATATAAATAAAAGATATAAAGTTTTTATCCGCACTTGATCTTCATAAAGAAAAAAAACACACCTAGAATACTTAAAACAAATTGGGATTTGGGATTAGTTTAAAAAGTAAAGATTACACTTAGATGAAAATTCTTCCAAAAATTACAAAGGTAATTTTTTAAACTATTAGTCAAGCAAATTCAAACATCCTGAGGGATCTTCTGTTCTCTTGAGATTTAATAGGAGGCCTGGGGTAAAGAAGACCTGGAAGATGGCAGTTGCTAATGAGGAATGGAGCAGGTAACAGGTCTGAATGAGGAAACAACAAGAGGCAGGTGAAGAATGTGGGGACTGAGCACTAAAAGAGGGACAGGGAGCCCTAGCTAGTTTGTCTCAGTGGATAGAGCATCAGCCTGCAGACTCAAGGGTCCGGGGTTCAATTCCAGCTGAGGCAGCTGATCAATGATTCTCTCTCATCATTGGTGTTTCTCTCTCTCTCCCTCTTCCTTCCTCTCTGAAATCAATTAAAAAAATATTTTTTTAAAAAAAGGGACAGAGAAATCAAGACATTTTCTAGCTTGGAAGAGGAGGAGGCTATGAGGAGGTTAGGGTGGTGCCATTTTTATTTAGTTTGGTTGCTAATAGGACCACAAACAGATGCTGGGTAATCCCACCATAGTTTAACAAGTAATTTATTCTATTAACTAGAGGTTTACATATTGTAATCCAGCAACATTACCTTACTAGATCCTTATAGATAAGCTTCGTTGTTTCCAGATATGGATTAATCACATCCTCATATTGACAAAGGGCTCCACCAAGGCAAAGATGTTTGAAAAGACAAAACAGGAACTCTTCTCTATCTGGTTGGCTGAATATTTCATATTTTTCTGAGTCTTCCACTAGCAAAACCTATGTAAGATGAGACATTCATCTTAATGTAACATAATTCGAGGTTCTAATTTTTATGTTTTTGCAAGTTTCAATTTATATCATCTTAGTCCTATTTTAATAACCAATCCCGAGGCAACTGGCGAGAGTGATCTGTGAGACTTGCAGCTGGTTTCTACCCCCATTTTATCCTTAGGTACTGACCTTCAATGAAAGAAATAAATCTAAATCTAAACCTTCTCTTCTACTTTATTTCTTTGTTCTAGTTTGTATCTTCAGTAATTGTTTCAGTGCTATTGCAATTTAGTGTTGAGTCAACGTAAATCTTATTTAGAAACAACTGGAGCACAAATAAAAGGAGAAGTTTCTCCATCGAATTAGGTCTATAGTCTTTGCTTCTATGGAGGCTAAACACAATGGTCATTTTCTATGTCCTCTCACCTTCCGGTGTTTGGGTCACTGTTTCCTTACCCCCACAGTTACTCAATTTTGAACTATTCAGGTAATTAGAGCCTCATAACCACCTCTCCCTTTCCTGCTCTCTTTCAGAAAATAGTTTGACTAGGTCTGATGTTGGGGATTTTTTTATACCATTGGGCATTATAGGCAATTGATTAATTTGTTGACTGTGGTGGACATGAACAAGGTGATGCATGTATGCTATAACATATATTTATTTTATTAAATTGTTTATATCCCACATACTTTTTAAAGTACGGTAAATAGCTAACAGTAAAATATAGATAAAATTAGATAAACATAATAAAGGATTTTAAAAACTCTTACCAAGAAATAAAATGGGAAGAGAAAACAAATACACATAAGGAACTCTAAATGGAGAAAAGCTATAAATATCATACATACTAGTACACTTAACACCACCATACAGATAAAAGAGGGAAACATAAGTTATACAACAATCACTGTCTAGTAGCAAGAAGTACACTTAATTAGGAAAACTGATTAAGCTTAACATTCTATTTACCCCAATCTCAAATGAAAATTCATCACAATGTCATTATATGAGGCATTTTAAAAAATAATAAACTCTATGGTGCTGTCTATATAAAGTTTACTTATAATGACTTGATGAAAGCCAAAGTATATATAGTAAAAGATAGGTAAGGGGAAGTGGTCCGTAGTTCACTGCTCCCTGGGTGTGCCACTTGTACATCTCCCTTCTCTCCCTTCCTTCCCTTCTGTAAGGAATGATGTGATACTAAAGCCCAAGGTTGTAGCTACTAAAGCCCAAGGTTGATCTGGCTTAAGACAAGGGTGACTAAAGCCTTTAAGAATGAACAGTTGAAATATATGGTGATGGAAGATGATTTGACTTTGGATGGTGGGCACACAATGCAATACACAGCTCATGTACCATAGAAAGGTACACTTGAAACCTATATAATCTTATTAACCAATGTCACCCGATACATTTAATTTTTAAAAAGAATGAATTGTTAACACATTCCTTACAAGCACTCTCATATGTTGAGTTGACTAGGTTATGCAATTTAAAAATTACAGTAATTGGAAATTTTTTTTTGAATGAATGTTAAACAATAACATTCCAGGGTTGATTTTCCTCTCCATTCACATGTAGATCTGTTTAGTGCTTTGGTACGCAACGGTTAAGGAGCCAACTTCCAAGCTGCAGTCAGAAAGGAGGTTATTATCATCAGTACTTATGTTACACAGTATTGCCAATAGAATCCGTATTGCTGTACAATGGGGGCCCTTTCTATTTCATGCTAAATCTAGAAGTTATTTATTTTTTAGCCAGAAAGCAACCAAATTAAAAGAACAGAGTGGCAAAGAACACAGGAGCAAAACATACAGGCAACTACCAGAAAAACAGAGTCCCAGCAGTACTTCCTGAATAAAGGTGCACTATTCATGGCATAACTAAGACAAGCCACAGCAGGCAGTTTTAAACAGAGTACTCTATTGGAAATCAAATCCTCTTTTTAAAAAAGTCCATTGCTGAGGCTCTCTGTAGAAGTGTTGGTACAACTCTCCAAAATTAGGGGTAAGGGCCTTGAGACAAAAAGAGTTCAGTATGCGAACACAGATCAGTGACAGTGAGAAGAGCTGAGATTAACTGTACCCAAAAGGAGAGAAACCCAGACTAGACTAGACACTGTTTGAAAGATAATTTCCAATACATGGTAAGAAGGAGTAGAAATTATTATCAGATCCTCACTGCATAGTATTTCTATTATTATATACTAGTGGCCGGGTGCATGAAATTCATGCAGGGGGTTGTCCCTCAGCCCGGCCTGCACCCTCTCCAATCTGGGACATCCCTCTCGCAATCCGGGACTGATGGCTCCTAACTGCTCACCTGCCTGCCTGACTGCTTGATTGCCCCTAACCACTTTGCCTGCCAGCCTGCTCACCCAACAACTGCCCCCTCACCGGCCTGATCGCCCCCAGCTGCCCCCCATGCCAGCCTGATTGGCCCCAACTA